TCTGACTCCCGGCCACGTAGTTTTACTCGGGCCCGCTCACCATCATGAAGGTCCTTAATGATCGTGAGCAGAGGGTCAGGTACTCCAAAAGCACGAAGAACAACGCAGAGCCCAGGCCTACTGATGGTATCATAGGCCTTGACCAGGTCAATAAAGCAGAGATGTAGGTCTTGTTGGAATTCCCTACACCTCTGCTGTAGCAGACGGACAGAAAATATGGCATCTGTGCAGGACCGCCCTTTCCTGAAACCGCATTGGGGCTCCGCAAGCCTCTCCTCAGCGTGCCTGGCAAGGCGATGTTGAATAATCCTTGCCAGGACCTTTCCCGGCACACTGAGTGAGATGCCCCTGTAGTTGTTACAGTCTGTGCGGTCCCCCTTCTTAAAAAGGGGGACCACCAGGGCATCCTTCCAATCCTGCGGAACCCGTCCAGTGGTCCAGACTGTTGTTATGATGTCATATAGGGCAGTCTGTGCACAAACGCCGCCCTCCCTCAGCATTTCGCTTGGGAGATCATCTCTGCCCGCTGCCTTTCCTGGTCTCAGACTCCGGATCGCCTTCAGTACTTTCTCAACAGATGGCACCTCAGCCAGCCACTCACAGGGGGTGACTTCTTTCAATACTTGAGGCACCGCAGCCTCAGCAGGGTCATCCTCACTTTGTGCCACGATGTTTTCCTGGCTGAGGGATTTTCCCTCCCCCAGGACCTCACAGAAATGCTCAGCAAATCTGCAAACCTGTTCCTGGGGGTCGGAGATTGCGTCACCGTTTTTTCCCCTAATGATGGTAATAGGTGTGGCGCTGCAGATTACTTTTTTGATGGAGTTAAATAGAGATTTGTGATCACGGGCCACTGAGGCAGACTCCATCTCCTCAGCAACCCGTGACCACCACCCATCCTTGCAGCGCCTCACGGCTTTCCGAACCTCCGAGCGAAGGCTGCGGTAAGCCTCCTCATTCTCTGACGTGGGATTCTGTAGCCGATGACAATGGGCCTGTCGCTTTTTCTCAACCATCCTGAACACCTCCTCTGTCAGCCAGGGTCTCTGGGGAGGTCTGGACCGCGTACCCAAAGCAGCCATTGCAGCTGCATGAGTCACAGTCCTAAACCTCGCCCATTTACCCTCGACATCAGGAGGAGTCAGGGGACGTTGTCAATCTCAGCCGCAAGCGATGATGAAATTCTCGCTTGCAACTTTCATCAGATAACTGAGACCAGGCCACTTTAGGTTGGAATGGGGTCCTGGGTGTACACCCTCCACCGGAGTGGAAGAATGGCAGGCGCATCTTACAGATGACTAGTCGATGGTCAGAGGGCAGATCAGCTCCACGGTAAGTCCTGGTGTCAAGGACATGGGCTCGTATCCGCTGGTCCGTCACTATGTAGTCCAGCAGATGTTCTTGCTTGGACCCGGCATGCATCCATGATGTTGTGTGGATGCGCTGATGCCGGAACAGCGTGCTGGTAATTACAAGACACAGACACACACAGATACACACAGACACAGACACACAGATATACACAGACACACACACACAGATATACACAGACACACACACAGACAGATACACACAGACACACACACACAGATACACACAGACACAGACACACACAGATATATACCGACACACACACACAGATACACACAGACACAGACACACAGATATACACAGACACACACAGATATACACAGACACACGCACACAGATATACACAGACACACACACAAATATACACAGACACAGACACACACATATACACACAGATACACACACACAGATATACACAGACACACACAGACACACACACACAGATATACACAGACACAGACACACACAGATACACACACACACAGATACACACAGACACACACACAGATATACACAGACACAGACACACAGACACACAGACACACACACAGATATACACAGACACACACACACAGATACACACAGATACACACAGACACACACACACAGATATACACAGACTGTCTCTGTCTCTCTGTCTGCCTCTGTCTCTCTCTCTGTCTGTGTCTCTGTCTCTCTTTGTCTGTCTGTGTCTCTGTCTCTCTGTCTGTGTCTCTGTCTCTCTGTCTGTCTCTCTGTCTCTCTGTGTCTCTGTCTCTCCGTGTTTCTGTCTCTCTCTCTGTCTCCCCGTAACTCCCCGTATCTCCCCGTGTCTTCCCGCTCTCATAGTCAACACCACCAACACCACCACCACTCCCACCACCACCCCCACTCACCACCAACACCACCACCACTCCTACCACCACCCCCCCCACCACCACCACCCCCACCACTCCTCCACCACCCCACCACCACCACCCCCACCACCCCCACCACCCCACCACCACCCCCACCACCACCTCCTCCTCCTCCAGTGCGCTTGATGTTGACGCTGATGGTGACGCTGATGGTGGCGGTGGCGGTGCCGTTTCTGGCGCCCTTCCTGCTGGGCACCGCGTGGGGCATTTGGAGCGCCGCCGGCAAGCGTCCCGAGTGAGCGGCGGTGGTGGTGGTGGTGGTGAGGGCGGTGGTGGTGGTGGTGGGGTGGTGGGGGTGGTGTGGTGGGGGTGTTGGTGGTGGTGGTGGCGGTGGGGGTGGTGGTGGTGGTGGGGGTGGTGGTGGTGGTGGGGGTGGTGGTGGTGGTGGTGGCGGTCTGCCGAGATGTTGACTGCCTCGCCGGGCACGCGGGAGGTCTCGCTGCTACGGTATGGACACAACATTGCCGTTGTGTCCACAGTAGGGCTCGTTGTTGTGTTACATGGCGTGAATATCTCAACGCTTTGTCATTAAAGCCTTCACCACCTGACACAGCCAATTAGTTACTAGTTTATAGTGTAGTGTGTAGTGTAGTGTGTTGTGTATTTGTATAGTGTAGTGTATAGTGTAGTTTATAGTGTAGTGTATAGTGTAGTGTATAGTGTAGTGTATAGTGTAGGTATAGTAGTGTATAGTGTAGTGTATAGTGTAGTGTATAGTATAGTGTAGTGTATAGTGTAGTGTATAAGTGTAGTGTATAGTGTAGTGTATAGTAGTGTATAGTGTAGTGTATAGTAGTGTATAGTGTAGTGTATAGTGTAGTGTATATTAGTGTATAGTGTAGTGTATAGTAGTGTATAGTGTAGTGTGTGGTGTAGTGTATAGCATAGTGTAGTGTATAGTGTAGTGTATAGTGTGTGTAAAGTGTAGTGTAGTGTGTAGTGCAGTGTATAGTGTAGTGTAAAGTGTAGTGTATAGTGTAGTGTATAGTGTAGTATATAGTGTAGTGTAAAGTGTAGTGTAGTGTTTAGTGCAGTGTATAGTGTAGTGTAAAGTGTAGTGTATAGTGTAGTGTATAGTGTAGTGTATAGTGTAGTGTATAGTAGTGTAGTGTATAGTGGTGTAAAGTGTAGTGTATAGTGTAGTGTGTAGTGCAGTGTATAGTGTAGTGTATAGTAGTGTATAGTGTAGTGTTTAGTGTAGTGTATAGTGTAGTGTATAGTAGTGTATAGTGTAGTGTATAGTGTAGTGTATAGCGTACTGTATAGTGTAGTGTATAGTGTAGTGTATAGTGTAATGTATAGTGTAGTGTATAGTGTAGTGTATAGTGTAGTGTATAGTGTAGTGTATAGTAGTGTATAGTGTAGTGTATAGTGTAGTGTGTAGTGTAGTGTATAGTGTAGTGTATAGTGTAGTGTATAGTGTAGTGTATAGTAGTGTATAGTGTAGTGTATAGTGTAGTGTATAGTGTAGTGTATAGAGTAGTGTATAGTGTAGTGTATAGTGTAGTGTAAAGTTGTTGTTGTTTGTAGGAGGAGGAGGCGCCCAGAGCCTGGACCACGAGAAGCTGCAGATGAGTGATGGTGTCAATGTCGTGTGCAGGTAACCATCACCATCACCACCATCACCACCATCACCACCATCACCACCACCATCACCACCACCATCATCACCACCACCATCACCACCATCACCACCACCATCACCACCATCACCACCATCACCATCACCACCACCACCATCACCTCCACCATCACCACCAGCACCACCATCACCATCACCACCATCACCACCACCATCACCACCATCACCACCACCACCACCACCACCATCATCACCATCACCACCACCATCATCACCATCACCACCACCATCACCACTATCATCATCACCACCACCATCACCACCACTACCACCATCACCATCACCACCACCACCGTCACCACCATCACCACCACCACCGCCACCACCACCACCATCACCACCATCACCACCACCATCACCACCACCACCATCACCACCATCACCACCATCACCACCACCATCATCACCACCACCATCACCACTATCATTATCACCACCACCATCACCACCACTACCACCATCACCACCACCATCACCACCACCACCGTCACCACCATCACCACCACCACCGCCTTCACCACCACCATCACCACCATCACCACCACCATCACCACCACAACCACCATCACCACCACCACCATCACCACCACCATCACCACCACCATCACCACCACCATCACCACCATCACCACCACCATCACCACCATCACCACCACCATCACCACCATCATCACCATCACCACCATCACCACCACTACCACCATCACCACCACTACCACCACCATCACCACCATCACCACCACTACCACCATCACCACCACCACCATCACCACCATCACCACCACCATCACCACCACCACCATCACCACCACCATCACCACCATCACCACTACCACCATCACCACCATCACCACCATCACCACCACCATCACCACCACCATCATCACCACCACCACCACCATCACCATCACCACCATCACCACCACCATCACCACCATCACCACCATCACCATCACCACCACCACCATCACCTCCACCATCACCACCAGCACCACCACCACCATCACCATCACCACCATCACCACCACCATCACCACCATCACCACCACCACCACCATCATCACCATCACCACCACCATCATCACCATCACCACCACCATCACCACTATCATCATCACCACCACCATCACCACCACTACCACCATCACCATCACCACCACCACCGTCACCACCATCACCACCACCACCGCCACCACCACCACCATCACCACCATCACCACCACCATCACCACCACCACCATCACCACCATCACCACCATCACCACCACCATCATCACCACCACCATCACCACTATCATTATCACCACCACCATCACCACCACTACCACCATCACCATCACCACCACCACCGTCACCACCATCACCACCACCACCGCCTTCACCACCACCATCACCACCATCACCACCACCATCACCACCACAACCACCATCACCACCACCACCATCACCACCACCATCACCACCACCATCACCACCACCATCACCACCATCACCACCACCATCACCACCATCACCACCACCATCACCACCATCATCACCATCACCACCATCACCACCACTACCACCATCACCACCACTACCACCACCATCACCACCATCACCACCACTACCACCATCACCACCACCACCATCACCACCATCACCACCACCATCACCACCACCACCATCACCACCACCATCACCACCATCACCACTACCACCATCACCACCATCACCACCACTACCACCAGCACCACCATCACCACCACCACCATCACCACCATCACCACCATCACCATCACCACCATCATCACCACCACCATCACCACCATCACCACCATCACCACCACCATCACCACCACCATCACCACCACCACCAGGTATGTAGAAGGGATCAACGATGAATCGATCTGAAATCGAAATCGCAATTTGAACAATGCGATGAGCAAATCGCAAAGGCTGTGATTCTGTGCGTGTCTTTATTTATTTCACTTAACAATTGTTCTATGTTTGATTGTTCTATTTCATAATTGTTTTTTTACCCTTTTATCTGGCAACAAAAGTGACACATTTTTTACAAGGAGTCATGTTGACATTGACCACAATACCTGCGGTCGGAACGCAAACACAAAACAACAACTCGGATAATGTATTGGCACTGTCCTTGAAATTTATTGGTCCACACCCGAGACGGCTTTCTTTAGAGCCTCGTCTCACGTTGGTGTTGGACCAGAAGACGCCAAAAGGCGCATAACTCAAAGACAATGCACCATCAGAGTATGAGAGCTCGGGGTAAAGCATTTACACCATTGGAAACCTCATTTGCCAGTAACAAAATATGATGATTGGTTTTTTACCCTTTTTACATTATCAGAGTTGTTTTGTGTTTGCGTTCCGACCGCAGGTATTGTGGTCAATGTAAACATGACTACTTGTAAAAAAGGTGTCAGTTTTGTTGCCAGATAAAAGGGTAAAAAACCAATCATCGTATTTTGTTACTGGCAAATGAGGTTTCCAATGATGTTCTATTTCAAATAGAACATTTTAATAAATACACGCTGGAAGCAATTCAAGTTCTCATTCTTGCATTAGAATATATCCAGAGCAGCTAATATTGTGGTGGTATCACGTGGCAATGACTCCATCACGTGTTTTACATCGATTACACAGTGAATATTGAATCGGAGCTTGACTCAATGTATTTTTATCGCAAATCAAATCGCAATCGATCTGTCAGAGAAATGTCACTTGGATATCTTCCCCAAGTGGCTGAGCCCCAGTACGGAGTCTGACTCCTCGCTCACTGTCCTCACTTCTTACAGTGACTTGGACAGCAGCCTGCTGGCCGGGGGTCGCCTTGACGACAACTACGACGGTGATGGTGGTGATGGTGGTGGTGGTTATGGTGGTGATGGTGGTGGTGGTGATGGTGGTGATGGTGGTTATGGTGGTGATGGTGGTGGTGGTGATGGTGGTGATGGTGGTGGTGATGGTGGTGGTGATGGTGGTGGTGGTGGTGATGGTGGTGATGGTGGTGGTGATGGTGGTGGTGGTGATGTTGGTGATGGTGGTGATGGTGGTGGTGATGGTGGTGGTGATGGTGGTGGTTATGGTGGTGATGGTGGTGGTGATGGTGGTGATGGTGGTGGTGATGGTGGTGGTGATGGTGGTGGTAGTGATGGTGGTGGTAGTGATGGTGGTGGTGGTGGTGATGGTGATGGTGGTGATGGTGGTGGTGATGGTGATGATGGTGGTGATGGTGGTGGTGATGGTGGTGGTGGTGGTGATGGTGGTGGTGATGGTGGTGATGGTAGTGGTGGTGATGGTGATGGTGGTGATGTTGGTGATGGTGGTGATGGTGGTGGTGATGGTGGTGGTGATGGTGGTGGTGGTGGTGGTGATGGTGGTGGTGATGGTGGTGGTGATGGTGGTGGTGATGGTGGTGGTGATGGTGGTGGTGGTGATGGTGGTCGTGGTGATGGTGGTGGTGGTGGTGATAGTGATGGTGGTGGTGGTGATGGTGGTGATGGTGGTGGTGATGGTGGTGATGGTGGTGATGGTGATGTTGGTGATGGTGGTGATGGTGGTGGTGGTGGTGATGATGGTGGTGATGATGGT